CGTTCCCACACTTTCGAGTATCACCAGCGGCCTCGTGAAAATTTTGGCGGGTAAACTATTAACCCGAGAGTCACGGGAAGATATTTGCCCTTCAAGGCTTCGAATTCAGCTTTTATGTGCTGGTGCGTGGAATTTTTAACTGTCTTCCAATGTTTGAACTATTCCTGCATAGACTAAAGTACAAAGCTGTGAAAATCACTAATAGGCAATCGTTCGATGGGCTGAATTGCACAAAATGATCGCACCGGCTAGTCTGGTGCGCGCTGCTATTTATTCTATTAAGTGCTTTTGGAGCCTTCATGCAGGAAAAGAGGTAGCATTACTCCCTACCTCTTCTTTTCTCTTTTCCCCTTCCGCCGCTCTTTCTTCCGGCTTCTGGAAACGAGTGATGTTAATTTTCATTTATTCAGATAATAAGAATCTACTGTTCTATGTCTTAAATGCACAACCCTTAAAAGATGTACGATGATCTCCAACGAAAACACATTTTTTCTGAATGCAACTTTTGCAAAAGTCAAGATCCATTTTCTGGCGAATTTATTCCTGCTTCCCACCTCCACCCCCCCACCACCCCTCCCCTCCTCTTCACCTACATTTTTTCCCTGGTCTGCTGCCTTCTTCATTACCTCTTTCATTTTATGAGGAAGCCATCGGTCTACCTTGCCAGCGGGTAGTTGCTGCTCCTTCCGAGCTAATTCGAGTGCTCCTGCCTCTCATAGAAAACGTATAAGAAGGGAATTTCGTGGTTTTTAGTTTTAATATTAAACGATTTTCAAATTTTTTTGTTCGAAGAATGAATTTTTCTTTTCAGTATGTTATTGAACCATACAGCAGCACTGGCCAAATCAGCCAAACAAGACAACGTGGCCAGTCCAACACACATCTCACCGGCGTTATTGCAGCAAAACACTCGGCGGTTTACACCGTACTAAACTGTCCCGTTGATGTGAATTTTGAAAAAAAAATTGCCAACAATGGAAATCCAATTTGAGTCAAGTTAAGACTAGAATATAGAAGAGATATCTTGAAACTGTTGGCCGCTAGGAAGGATGTAACAAATTTCTGGTACAACTTTGTGTAGTGCAATATCGTTTGAAAACTTATCCAACTTATCTCTAAACAATACGCAGCACAAATTAATAATCGTAGTTACCACGCTGTTAATTTTACAGTTAGAAACCAGGCTTTTTCGAGAAAAGAAAGGGAGCACCTCATCAAAAAAAGCAAATGTACCCATACTGTAAGTGCTTTGGTCACTAAATTTATGCCAAATGTGCCTGAAACACCGTTTTTTTGCGCGGATCTCCGTCTATGATGCTTGTAACTCTTCCATTACGTACGACCGTGTGCTGTCCTCATTTCAACCGCCCCGAACATTCGAGACAACGCGGGACCGACAAGGCAAACCAGTGGCTTTCGCACTGTTCTTTTGACACGTAGTGGACTACAATCCTAGTGG